TAAGCCAGCATGAAGCACGCTCCGGCAACAGCGGAGTAAGTCTTCATCTTGAAACAGAACGAGCTGGGGTGTGGGCAGCGGGAAGCGAACTGACCGACATGACCGACTCTCTCATAGAGACTCTTTATCAATTAGGGTGACTACTCGCCGAAGCACGTTAGCGTGAACTGTAGGCAGTTAAGGCGCTTGTTACACAGCAGAAATTCGTGTGTTTGTTTTTGTAGTACGTTTGGTGCTCGAGGAAGAGTTGATCCCCCTACTGTACTACATGTACCTACTGTACTACATGTACCTACTTTGTACCTACTGTACTACATGTACCTACTGTACTACATGTAGTACAGTAGGGGGATCAACTCTTCCTCGAGCACCAAACGTACAACACCGCGAAACATACGAATTTCTGCTGTGTAACAAGCGCCTTAACTGCCTACAGTTCACGCTAACGTGCTTCGGCGATTAGTCACCCTAATTAATAAAGAGTCTCTATGAGAGAGTCGGTCATGTCGGTCAATTCGCTTCCCGCTGCCCACACCCCAGCTCGTTCTGTTTCAAGATGAAGACTTACTCCGCTGTTGCCGGAGCGTGCTTCATGCTGGCTTACATGTCTCCAGCGCATGCCATCGAGCGCAAGTTGATTCTAGGTGGAGAGATCATCCCAGCAGGCACCAAGACTTACACGACTGGTATTCGCCGAACTGCTAGCGGTAACAACGTCTGTGGTGGGACTCTGATCTCTCCCACCCATGTGATCACCGCGTCACACTGTAGCAGCAGCTACGACATTCGCTGGGTGTCCGTGGGCTCGCACTATATCAACGGAACAACCGACGGAGAGCAGATCAAGGTCGTGTCCATCATGAACAATCCCAACTACGAGTCTGGAGAGTTCCCAAACGACTACGCTATTCTTGAATTAGCGAAGCCTAGCTCCTTCACACCGGCAAGGCTTGCAGCCGGGGATGACTCTGATTTTGCTCCTGGCAAAACTGCAATGATGTTGGGATGGGGTTACACCTCAGACAACGGCACGGTATCCTACGAGCTTCGAGGCGTGGACCTCCCTCTGTGGGACGATGAGAACTGCACCAAAAAAATGGACACAGACAGCTCGATGCTTTGTGCTGGCGGAATCGCGAATAAGGATTCCTGTGAGCGGGATTCAGGCGGTCCGCTGATTCTTGAGACGAATTCGCAAGACATCCTAATCGGCCTTTCGAGCTGGGGTCCGTCTCCCTGTGGCTTTGACGGCGCTCCTGGTGTGTACGCGCGCATCTCACATGCTCGCCAGTGGATTGATTCCATTGTTAACGGGACCTGCCTTGCGTAGGAGAAACGTTCTCTTTCTTATGCTGAAGAATCCTTAATTGGGTTGGTCAATAGTGCTTGCTAGGGATCAATTTTTACTTACCACAACTAAGAGCTCGAACTATATTACATGTATACATGTATGTACAATACAAAGAGGGACTACGTTTTACAAACCGTCATATGCTACACTACAGGGTTCAGTAAACAATACAGAGAGGGACAACGTTTTACATACCGTCATATGTTACACTACATAGTACTTCGAAGTACACAACATAGTACAGTAGTAGTAGTACCGTAAAATGATACACTACATAGTACACTACAAAGCTCAATAGTACCGTAGTATCTGGTGCTAATACTGATATTTAAAAAAGTTTTATCTTCTGCCCCGATGATGACTGGCCATCTCAATTTCCAAGGGTGCTGCTTCACCGTGCCATGAACTTCGTGTAGGCTTCACGATGAAGCCTCCACTTTTATCACTACTGTAGACCGTATTAATATTTACGTTGTAAAAATCATGCTTGATAAAAACACAATATCTTTTTTCTAATTACATTGAATTGTGAGGAGAAATCGTAAGGCAATTTTCTGACGATATAGAGATGTGTGTTGATTGGTTAAGATACATGCGATAAGTGGCGTCGGTGGGTAACTTGATCATAAAACATTAGAAGGTCTGCAACTGCTGCCCCACGTGCAAGGTAAGATGTCTTGGCACCCCGCATCCTATCCTACCGTCGGGTCACTCCGCTTGGCGCGTTTGCGCTTTCGAAAAGGTTCTGACAGTGCGTTCGGATTGTCTGCTTTCATCGCTTCACGTATAAGGCGAGTGAGGGAACTCACCTTAAGCTGCGTGTTCCTTCGAGCCCGAATGGTGGGGAGTAACTTGAGTCTGTCCATGCCTTGTGCGAATAACTTCTCCGCCTCTGTCTCTTTGTTATTGCAGACCCAGTCGCTTTTTCAATCTCAACCGTGATATGGTGTACGAACATTTTCCATTCTGAAAGCGTGCTGGCTTTTTGCCGGCTTGACAGATCACGGCTTGTTATTCGGTAAAGCGGTGGGTATCCTAGCGTATTGTTTCCGAACCACCATAACATCCACGCCGTGAGCGGGTCTGTGCTGGGAAACTCAAAGTAGGCTGGTAGGAAATGGAACTTGCCGCTCCAGAAGTGCACATTTTGACTGCTTTCTGAAGGAGACTTTGTGGGCTGAATTGCTGAACATGGCACACCTATGCCAGCATCTGCAAGTAGCTGGCGTATTGTTTGTGCTAGCACGTCCCGCGTGATATTACCGGCCGCAACACCCTTTTCATCGAGCAAAATTTCAACTCCACTGAGTAAAGTTTCCGGTAATTGTTTAATTGAATCGCGTAGGTCCTCCAATTGTTTGTAAATCTCATTATGAGGTGGGATACCAGTGGATTGCATCCAAGGCGATTTGGACGCTATAACCTGCTGCTTCAGGCTAGTCATTACGGAGTCGTCTCTGAATAAAACTTTTGCGCGTGGTTAGAAGGTAGTTGCTGTCGAAGAAAATCCGCGTGGTTCACTAGTGCAGCGACACACAACTGCAGAGTTTGTCCTAGTTTTTCGTCGGCAGCAAGAGAGGGGAACATCCGTCAAACACACTCATCAGCCTGGCTGTAACTGGGGTCGACGAAATGAGGCAGTAACGAGGAAAATTTACTGCTGTTAAGCGGTAGGCCTGCTACAACACGGCCGAGATACTGGCCCCCTGCACTTTCATAGCGAAAATATCTGTCTTGGACACTTCCAAGGGACCAACCACAGCGAAAACAGATACTTACGATGGAGGGGCCACCAGTGGAGCCACCCGATGCATATGATGCCACTCCTTTGAGAATTGAGTGTGTACCGAGGAATTTTGCATCAGAGTCATCCTTGAGGCACTGTGATAGCGCCTTACCGAAACGTAGTTTTTGATTAGAGCCTGGAAAAAGGGCACCGGGTTGAAGCCGTGGGTGACACGCTAAATAAACCCCTAATGCAGTCAGCCAGCACGTCACAGGCGACCCAGGATTAGCGTAGATATGTCGTGGATCTTTAGGGCCGCTTCCTTCTTGGTTGGTTTTCGTTTTGTGTAGCACAATGCCGATGCTGTCGTCGGCACCCACCAAGTGCGAGGTTTGGATAGTCTCCACAGATTTTGATCGGCACATTAGGTTCCACTGCGTTGTCAGGAATAAATGGGCAAACCCACCATCATCCCGAGCTAGAGTCGACTTGCTCACCGCTACGTATCGTGAATATGTAAGTGGCCGTTTGCCAGATTCGCGTCCTTGACCGGTTTGGTCACGATCAGCCTCTAAGCGCTTTAGACCAGAAAAAAGCGCTGTCATTTTCTCGCCGCGCTTGGGAGGGGCAACTGGTGGCGTCGATACAGATCCTTCATTGCGCTCCTATACCCTCCGAGGGTACCAGTCGTCAGTTTATCTTGCTTGTCGACGAGGAACGCCTTAAAGTCCTTCGCCTTGAATTTCCTCGGGTCGAGATTTCCGGACGCGTCGAAGAAGCGTTGAGGGTTGCCAACACCCACTGGCGAATTCCTTTTAGATAGCTGCGGTATCGGGCTATGGTGCCGTCAGAAATGCATCGTGCTCGAACGCCATCCCCATCTAATCTCTCTTGGCCAGGTGCGTCCACTTCCTGGCGCTGATCACGAGCGATTCCGTGTGAGCTCATCGAGCGCGTTTCTGCCAATGATATCACTGATTTCTACGTAAGGCAGATTTCTTACGCTGCCCCATACAAAGGCCGTTGATGCCCACCCCAGTGATTAGCCAATAGAAACCTGAGCAATGCTTTTCATCATTCTTAGGAATCATAAGACCGCTGCCTTACGCATGACCTCCAGCTTGTATTGCTGCCTTACGAAAGCGCATGAATGAAAAATGCATTCTCAACAATATTTGTTCTCCTTATCTTTACCATAAGTGGGTCAATTCTATCAAATTACAGTCCTTACACCCACCAAGTCAACGTACTCTTTTACCTACCTTGCGCTCAAGATACTTTTCAATGTCCAGTATTCCTTCCACACCCAAGAGCACACTTAGCGACGATGTCGTCGCCGTGGCTCAGCAACCGCGAGGAGTTCAACCACAGTCAAAGCAGCAGGAGCAACAGCAACAGCAGCATGGCAAGCGGTGAGCTACTGGGCGAGCGCCAGCCTCTGCTTGGACCGGGAAGCCCGGACACGCGCACGGCTTCCGATACAGGCCACGGCAACTACAGAAGATGATGAGGCCTTATTGGCAACAAGACGGTGGCTTATCCATGCCTTTCCGGAACTCTACGATGCACCAACAGGATGGAAGTTATGGCCCTCAGTGTCCGAAACTACCCTGAAATGGGCACGGGCTATTATGTCCACGCAAGATGACGCTGATAAACGATTCCACACTGCAATTTTCCGAGCTATCTGGGCTACCAATTGAGCACACTGGAACCCGACCTGCATGGAGAATGCGGCAGCGATTAAAGATGCCGGAGATGGGGAGCTCCTGAGCGAGGTGAATGGGATTATCCAGTTTGGGAGACGGCAGCATGCCCGAGCCCCACTACAACTTGACACGGTACTACATAATCACGGTGAGAGGCTTCGACGCCGTGCGCACGAATGGCACGAAGAAAGGGACCAGCAGTTACGGTGATCTCCTTCGCCTCTGGTTGACAATTGGACACAGTCCCAGACAAATTAGATCAGTCGGGAGTACTTGGTACGGCAGCGGCGTCGGGGTCAAAGCTTACACGTTATACCTATGCATGTTCCTACAGATAGACCAGGAAGACACGTCCTACGTATTTGATTATAGTTGACGAGTCGACCTTGGACAGCCGGGACCGCCATGTATGGAGAGGATACCTGGCCAGCGGGGTTGATACAGTGCTCGCGCTGAGTGCTTTTGGCGTTAACCGCGAAAAATAAAAAAATAAAATAAAACTTGTTTGTGATGAACGCTGCACTTGGTCCCAAAACTCACATGGGACGACATCACATTTTTTGTAATTTTAGACTTACTATGAAACTGATCCAAATGTAGCCACTAAACCTACATGCGACTTTGCGGAACTTTGCTGGTTCATGAAACGGCTAGCAATGCAGTACGTCTGCTTAGGTAACAACGAACCAATTCGTAAGGTGATACATGGTGGCTACATATGATGGTGTGATTTATGGATGAATATCATCGATTCTCCGACCCTACTTAATTTTAGTATTGGTATTAATCACCAATCATCCATTTTTATTTATTAGACAGCCAATCGTACGGTCTTGACAAGATAATTTGGCCAATCCAAGTGGTAAGGGTTAGGTTGAACCTCGGGGGAGTTGGCTCCGACATATCGGGTCGGAGGGGACTCAAAAAATATGGATATGCTCTTACAAATTTCAATATGTAGGCATATCACATGCATAAAGTCATTTCTCCGACTTCTCCGACCAGTGCAATCATTACCACACATTAGTTTTAAATCTTACTTATTATTAATATGCTACTATGTAGTAATAAATTGTAGAAGAGGTGGGTAGCAGCGCCACAGGGGGCTTGCTCGTCATTAGGAGCAACACATGCAACATCCCTGCGTGGAGATCCAATATTTTTATATTGCGTAGAGCATTATGTAGCAAGCGTCAATTAAATGTACATGTATTGCCTTATTAATTCTTGAGCACATCGACTCGCTGCCTCCTGTGCACCGCCCTGCCGCCCTGCCACCGCTCTAATGCCGCCCTGCCGTGCTGCCACCGCCCTGCCACCACCCTGCCACCACCCTGCCGTACTGCCACCGCCACCGCCCTACCGCCCTGCCACCGCTCTGATGCCGCCCTGCCGTGCTGCCACCGCCCTGCCACCACCCTGCCACCACTCTGCCGTACTGCCACCGCCCTACCGCCCTGCCACCGCTCTCATGCCGCCCTACCACCGCTCTGATGCCGCCCTACCACCGCTCTGATGCCGCCCTGCCACCGCTTTGATGCGCC